TATCCTTCCAGTCTCCATAACTAGATCCATTAAATGAATCTACCAATAGATCCATGCCAATATTAGGCTGGGATCAATATTGTTTCAGGCAAAGGAAATGAAAGAACCCAAATCACTCATTTGATAAAGAGTACTTCAACCTTCCTGCTATGTCACTCTAATAAATCAGTTCTATTCAGTTCTCCCAGACCTGAAATTCATCTTTTCTCTCATCAGCACTTTCAGAACAGAATCCTCCCACTAAACCAATCTATCTGCTTTTATTCTATTTTAAGGACCTCCTACTCCTATATAATTTTCTGGGTTCTGTATATTGTCAGTTCCCTGATTCTGGAATCTAGCCATTCCCTGGTATACTCAATTAATTACTTTCTTAGATATCTCTGGTAGTGAGACTGCCTAGATTACTGCCAATTGCTTTTAATAACTCTTCCTGAGTATCATATCCCCCCTATTTGACCAAACTTCCTCTCAAAGATTTAGTTGAAAGCTAAGCAAATTGAGAATGATGCAGAATTAAAAGGGTAGGATGAAATAATGAGTGATACAATAAAGAGTTAACATAAATTTTTTAAGTTGTAGAAATTATAAGGAAACACAGCAAGGTATAAGTGTTTTTATTTTGATAAAAATGGTATGGGTCTTGCCTCTTGAAGGCACTAAGAGCATGTAGCAATGAGTAAATATGTCAGTTCATATACTGATACTGAAAAATGAGACTAGATAAGGATAAAGAAATTTAGAAAGATAGAATATCTGAAAAGCACATTATGATAAAAATGGGAAATTGCTACTGGCATTTAGGCAGTAGATATTGAAGAGAGTAAATGATATAATATAAAATACTTATTCTAATTCCTGAAAGTAAAATCCTTAGAAGTATTATTTTTAATATTTTTACTGCTGCAAGACTTTCTATTGGATAAGCCGTCTGCTATACTTTGTGAAAGCTTGTAGGATTTTGAGAGGCAACAATCAAGGCAAAGTCCACCCATACAGCCTTGATTATTGCTACTGAAATTAGACACTTCCTTTATAACTCACCACTAGGTTTAGTTTGCATCATTCATAATACATTATTTTCTCTATTAAGAGAGTCATATAAATATTTTACCTCTTTTTTTTATTGTAAGCTTCTTAAAGGCTGAGACTACATTCTGTAAAACTTTTTTAACCTCACATTTTGCATTGCTCCAAGCAAACGAGCAATGAACATTTGCTGAATGACACATTTTTAAAAGCTCAACACTTTCTAAACTCTTTTCAAGCCTTTTAGAAAATGTTTTGAATCAATCCATTCAAATAAAGTGTCCACATTTCATTTCTCTTTTCATGCATTTACTTAGAATCAAAGACTTGATTCTTCTTTGTTAGGGAATTTAAAGTAGACTTTTATACTCTGCTCTTAATCATAATTGACTGTTTTTGGAAAAAGTGTTTCTCCAATTAACTGGATATGGAAGCTTAATCATTGTTTGTTTGTTTTTTTTAAAGTATATTTCTCTAAGCAAAATATATCTTCAATAACATTTGGCTCCAGCAGTCTGCCTGAACCCTTCCATAGATGATGCTTAATCCATTCATTAATGAAAGCAATTACTAGTAACCAAGATAAAAGTCAAGTGCAAATCCAATGTTTGAACTTAAAATGAGGACACTGATGAATGGATATGTAAATAAACAAAACCCTCTTCAAGGTACAAGGTATTTGGATAGATTGATGTTTATTTTGGACTCTCGCCCAGTTCTTTAATAGCAAGATTTGTTGTATCAAAGGGAAATTTTCTTTCACTAACAAGAGTAATATTAGGAATAATTTTAATGATAGAAGCAAGGCAATTTTAAATAAATTATTAAATTAAATAGTAAGTCAGAAGCAAGTTTATCATCAAAGTAAAGAAAACTGTTTTTATTTAAAATTATTATTCCTAAAACAAACTCACTCCCACAAAGGACAGGGCAGTTTTACCCATGGGCACTCAGGGGACCCAGTCATACATAGAACTTATAGCATCTTATTTACTAAAAAGAAAACAGAGGGAAAGAAAATGAGGAATTTCAGATGAATGTAAATTATTCTATGTACTACAAATTTAGAGTACATTTACAAAAATGTTTGCCTCATTAATAATAAAAATGTATTATTTTAATTCCCTAATGTAACCCATGTAGGGCATAGAAACAAGATAATAAGAGATTTCCACATGGACATTTATATTGAAGAGTAAAATTCTCATTTCAATGATATGAAAATGCCTTTATCCAAAACTCACTTTTCTGTTCCTTATCTTACAGGATTATTTTGATAGGCCTAACTAAAAAAATCTTTTCTCACCTTAAACAAAGATCTAAGTTTTAAAACTCATTATTTCAAATTATGTTTTAGCAGAGCTCATAAGAATGCTATTTGGGGTTATAAAAATTATATATAGTTTAACTGGAAAAAACCTGACAGACCCATACTCAGCATATTGGTTCCTTTGATAGAATGTACTATGTTCAATAAACAATCCTATCAGTGAATTTTGAATTTTATCCAATCCTTACTTTTACTGATGAATCAGTTATTTTAAATTTTCTTTTAGTTTATTTAATTAATTTCAGTCTCTTGGTCTTTGTTTGGTGACCCCTAAATAGCTAGAATTAAGCAATAAAAAGAAAGATTTCCGTGCTGGACACAAAGGAGCGTGCTTCCGGGGAGTGCCACAGACTTTTGGCTGAAATCTACCCATCAAGCTTAATGTGACTCTGGCTGCCAAAACCCCAGGCGACCTTTGAATATTTAGGGCTAAATGTAGCTCCCACTTGCTTTGGTCGCTGGGAGTCCACAGGAGCTCTTATTTGTTGCTCCCCGGATTCCTGCCAACCTTTTTGTGCTCATTTCTATTGGTGTCTCTTTCTGGCTGAGTCTTGTGTATCTGTTTCCCAATATTGTTCACAATGCTGAGTAGGTTAAGACAAGAAAACCATTATTTTTAAAATGTTTATTTATTTGCTAGGGAAAATAAGTTGTGCTTCAGGAGGTAAAATTGTCTTGCTGTGTTGTTTTTTGTTTTTTACAAAACTGTAAAAACTAGACATCCATACGAATGTAGAAATTGTTCTGAGATTCCCTCTTAAGGCAAATATCTGAGGAAACGCATATTTCAAACTATATATATCTTGCCAATCTTTATCACTCTCATTTGATTATATCCATCTTTATTCCCCAAATAACAAAAATAAGAGATAAACTATCTTAAAATATCTCTGGGATCAATTAAAAAACAAGTATATTACTTCAGAAAAAAAATAAACAAAAATATCATTAAATTTTTTTAATTGATTTTTTTACAGAGAGGAAGAGAGAGGGATAATTAGAAACATCGATGAAAGAGAAACATCAGAAACATTGATCAGCTGCCTCCTGCACACCCCCTACTGGGGATGTGCTTGCAACCAAGGTACATGCCCTTGACCAGAATTCAGTCTGCAGGCTGATCTCTATCCACTGAGCCAAACTGGTTTCAGTCAAAAATAATATAATTTTTGCTTAATTAAATGCAATTTAAAAATTCTGAGACAAACCATCTTTGCAAATTATGCTAAACTGAGGACAAATGCTTTGTGTTTTACCTTGGAAAGTTAAATGAAGTGTCTCATGCTACTTAGTATTTTGTGAAATTTCATATTGTAGATAATATGCTATGCTAGCTTACATTAAAATTTTAGTGGCCCACAAAGAGTTAAGTTCTAAGTAGTTATTAAAGTTTTCATAAGAATGTAAGCAAGCTATGTTGGATTTTTTGGAACCAATAAATGGAAATAGCATTTTTTTTCAGTGTTCCAAGATCTTCCCCAAATAGTCTTTTATTATTAGAGATATAAATGTTTTTGAAAGGGGAAAATATAGTATTATTTTTATGACTTCCTATTATTTGAACAATGAAGATGTATTGGAGTTAGATTTCTTTCAGAAATATATGTAGACAGCATTTGGTATAGGCATTTATATTAAAACTAGAAATCCAGTGCATGAAATTCATTCATGGGGGAGGGGGGACCATGGGGGCGATCCTCAGCCTGCACCCTTTCCAATCTGGGTCCCTCTCGAGGGATGTTCAACAGGATTGGATCTAAACAGGCAGTAGGACATTTCCCTTACAATACCTGAATCTTGGCTTCTAACTGCTTCTGCCTGCCAGCCTGATCACCCCCTAACCTCTCCCCTGCCAGCCTGATTGATGCCTAACTGCTTCCCTGCAGGCTTGATTGTCCCCAACTGCCCTCCCCTGCAGGCCAGGTCCTCCTTAACTGCTCTCCCCTGTCAGCCTGGTCCTCCCAACTGCCCTCCCCTTTAGGCCTAATCCCCCCCAACTGATCTCCCTTATAGGCCTTGTCCCCCTCCCAACTGCCCTTCCTTGCAGGACTTGTCCATCCTCTAACTGCCCTCCTCTGCTGGCCATCTTGTGGCAGCCATCTTGTGTCTACATGGGCGTGGCCATATTGTGTGTTGGAGTGATGGTCAATTTGCATATTACTCTTTTATTAGATAGGACTCGAGGCACAGCGCATGAAACTTGTGCATGGGTAGGGTTGCTAGAGGCTGTTGGCTGTCAACAGGGCCTCCTTTCCCCTAACTGCCTGCTGCTGTTATTGGCTGGGGCTTCCCTTTCCTGGCTGCCTGCTGCTTCTGGCCAGAGTGAGGCTGTTGGGGTGGGGTGGTGGGGGGCTGTGGGCAGTTGGCTGGCTGGCCCCCTCCCCTGGTCAAACTCCTGATAGAGGGGAAATTTGCATATTAGGTTTTTATTGTATAAGATTTGACTTAAAGGGATTTAATAGAAATGACTGAACTTTACCTTAAAATTTTTCTTGTTGGTACTAGATTTATTAGAAGACTCTGACAGACAAGAGAACCACAAATGACAACGAGTAATCTCCTTGAAGTTTGTGGAGATTTAATAAAGTTGCTTGTCGTACAAATACCACTTACAAAACACACACAAATCACAAACACTTACCATATTCACTGTCATAGAATATGATGAATTTCTGCCAGGCATATTCTGTGATCACTCTCAGGATAACATCATTTAAGTAGACAGGTGGACGAACAGAGAGCGTGTAGTCATCATTCCTGTTGCTGCGGGTGAGTCCACAGCCACTCCTTGGAGTCCCAGCAGTTGCTCTCTGGATGAAGAGATGGGGGATGTGCATGGCATCTGCCAGAGACTGGAGGGACCCCGCTGATGTGCAGCCAATGGAGCTGACCAGGGCCAAGATGCCTTGATTCATAAGTTCACAGGCTGCAAGAAAGCACAGCAATATTAGACTGTCAATGAGCTTCATATGTTTTTTTCCTTTTTGAGAAACAGTGACTTAAGCTTATAAGCTATTACACAATTATGTAAATTTTAAAGGAATATTCTACCTGAAGAGATCCTCAAATTACAAAATGCTATTGAAATACGGTTTAAAATTCTTCCTTTTAGTTATTAAGCCTGTGCAAATTAGTTGGGTTCTGTTAGTCTCAGTTTCATCATCTGTAAAGTGGGTGAATAGCATAAATCTTGCAGGATTATTGTCAGGGTTAGAAATATTTCAGTGTCTGTTATCTGCCTCTCAGATGATAGGCATTCTATGCTTTTTTAATTGTCCATGTATAATTCAGAGAAAAGGTAATTCCTTACTGAGTACATAATATAAGGTTTTCAAAATGGAGGTAATATGTAAACTGGTGAATGAATGAATGGAGGTGGGGTGTTGAAGGGTTTGAGTAATGATTTCTGGCCTTAGAAAAACAGAGCCCACTGGGATTTAAAACTTTGACAATGCTTTGTCTCTTTTACTAAACTGGTGAATTGAAAATCTTTTGTCATTTTCCTTAACAAATTAGAAAACACATAGTCATATCAAATACTAAATTTCAGCAATATTATCATTCTGGTTCCCAGCTGAACAATTTCCTATTTTTACTATACGATTTATGATCTCTGCTTTAATTTTAATTTAATCATTCTATATGTGAATATGTGCTAACTTCAAAATATATTTAAAACTAGAGCAATATAAATTATAAGTAAATGTAAAGTCAAAGCATATATAGGAAAAAAAGAGATAAGAAGTGGTATCTTAGTATGTCAATCTTTAAAGTCAAAATATCACAAAATAAAAAATAAAAATGTAAATAAAAATGAAAAGTAATTCAGAAAGATTCAAGGTTAAATTAATTCCATATTAGAAGATTAGTTATTAAATATCTATTCAAGATTTTAGGCATTCTAGTTAATACAATCTCAACATTCAGAGTTTAATATAAATTGTTTTACACACTTCTTGAAAATTCAAAGAAAGTCTGAGATGATAAGTACCTACATGTAATTAATTGGTCAGTTAATGAAAGCTGACAAAGTGTAAGTTTAGAAGCATTAACCTAATGGTATGCATATAAAAATCAAATATATTAATTATGATTAATGGCAAGACAACTAATATGTACAAAATAAATTAAAACTTATTAGGAATATAATTTTCAAGGATAAGGGAGGTTATGGGATTTTAAATAAATGTGAAAAATAGCCCGAGAGAGGAATCCTCCTAGACCATACCAGATTGAGGTTAAAGTTTCATTAAAAATCACAGTAGCTGCTCATGTAGTAGCTACTCATGTCCATGAAGTCAGCACAGAAAGCAATATAAAGTATAGTTATTACTTTTCATGAATTTTTGCAAAACCACTGGTCACTAGAATGTTTCATTATTGTAGTGAATTATACCATTACTGATTATATAAGCAAGTAGAAATTCACTTTTAGAAAATATTTTGATTAAAAGGTTAGATCATGTAGCTTTTAAAATAAAAATAAGAGAACATTAATATATACACAGTTGAATTTTATTTTTAGGTTACACTAAATAATAGTGATTAAGCTCTGGCATGTTAGGCTCAGTTTGTTAAAGCATTGCCCCATTCGCCAAAAGGTCAGGTTTCATTCCCAGTCAGGGCATATACTCCAATTGGGGTGCATACTAGAGACAACTGATCTATATTTCTCTCTGTCTCTGAAAAAAATCTAGTAATAAATAAAAACAAATAGTGATTAAATAAATATAACATTTAATATAAATTTATCACAAAAATTTTAAAGTTATATATATATATATGTATATATACACACACACACACACACACACACATACATATATATATATATATATATATATATAAGTTTGAGATGAAAAACCCTGTTTAATATTCTGCCACATTTATTTTTTTATTTCTTTTTTAATTAATAGTTTGTAGACCCTTTATACACTTTTAAAAATATATTTTATTGATTTTTTACAGAGAGGAAGGGAGAGAGATAGAGAGTTAGAAACGTCGATGAGAGAGAAACATCGACCAGCTGCCTCTTGCACCCCCCCACCGGGGATGTGCCCACAACCAAGGTACATGCCCTTGACCAGAATCGAACCCGGGACCTTTCAGTCCATAGACCGACGCTCTACTGCTGAGCCAAACCGGTTTTAGCTCTGTCACATTTAAATACATGAAAATTGTCTATTTTAATCTTCAGATTTAGAAAAATTAACTAGAGTCATATATTAATCATTATTAGATAAATTTGATGTAGTATATAATCTATAATTCCCTCCAATCAAGTACATTACTTCCTGTTAACCTTTGTGAATAAGAGCACAAACAACACAAATTACTACTATATAGGAAATTAATTATTATTTTTTTATTATCTGGTATTTGATATTATTCATCCCGGTACATACATTAGCAAAAATAAACTAAAATTTTCCTATAAAACCAAAATAGAAGCTATTAAAAATTATAATCTGAGAACTATATAATGTTATATCTGAAAAGGAATTCAGAGATTATGTAGTTCAGGGATACAAAATCAGGTTTATTTCCTATGCCAACCACAATTGTTGGGTAAATTGGCATTCTGGAACAATATTTTGAGAAAAATTCTGAGATTCGATAAGCAAAAGTACCAAAATCATTATGTTAAGTTTCTCAGAGGAAAAGATTAGGGGAGGAGAGTGGTCATACACAACCATTCCTCTTATACTGCTCTACCTGCTAATGATTGTGGCTGTCAAAAAGCACACCTTTTCCTAAGAACAAATAAGTAAATAAGTAAATAAGTACAATAATTCTCTGGTCTGTAACTCATTGTCCAATATCCATTTCACCATAGTAAGGAAATGATATTTGTAACCTTAAAATTTTGTATGGCAAAGAAAAGACAGAGCTTTCCATAGGGGAAAGTTCAACAGAAGATTGTCTCTTGTCAGGTTTGGTAAAAGAGGTAGTCTCACTACAGAGAAAGGAAGAACTCACATGCAGAAAATGGATTGCGACTCCTTGACCCAAAACACAACTTCAGCTGAACATATATAGAAAAGGTCTGCAAGGCCCCTATTAGGTCTATATTTGGTGCCCACTTTGCCTCATAGGGTCCTATATAGAATTTAGTATAAAATAAGATTATAAATAATGACAGCAGAGGAGAGATTTGAGAAAACAAAGAGCTACAGCAAGAACAGAATCAAAGCTTAGTGAAGCAGCCTACCACTTGCTACAAGAATTTCATGTCTTGATTGTTAGAACACCACATTATTTAGTTTTAGTTCCATACAATGCATACTTTATTTCATTAAAAATAGTGTAACTGAATTTGCAAGATAACAGTGTTTTGTGGGCATCTTCACGTTTTAATTATAAGAATTTAAGCCAAGGACTTCTCAATGACATATTTCTTTCAGGCTATTATTCTGAGCCCTGTGATTTACTTACATTATGTATGCATGCACACACGCACCTCCGAACACACAGAGCATATTGAACAGCTGCTTGTTTTGTGACTCCAGCTGTTTTGAGATTTTAACACTATCAAAGATGTTTAGAGTCTCCACTAATTGCTGAAAGCTCACTTTTCCTCTTTTCTTTCTCTTTTTATTCTCTTCCTTTTAATTGCAAAGATAAAAACTTTCACTCTTTTTGGTCACTTAGCAGTTATGGAAATGAAGTTCTCTGTATAAATGTATACATTTAAGTTAAGTGATACATGTATTACCTTAATTTGCTAGTAGGTGTAAGGTATGAATTATAGTATGAATTATAGTACCTCCCAAAATGATACTTATTCTTGTTTTCCCATAGTAATCAACTAAGAAGACCATTTTTTAAAAGTTTCTCTAACTCAAATGCAACATACCATATTTCCAGAATTCTAAAACATGTATAGTTTCTATATTTTATCATGTAAGGATATATTTTTAAAAGTTCAAAGTATTTCATATGATGGATTATTTTTTTTTGAGAAATTCATTATCAATATTGACCTTTACAATCAGTGAGCTCCTTTAAATGAGAACATAAGGTAAGCTTCCATGATAGATGGGGAGGATTTGTAAAATTTCTAAATAGTTGAATTTAAGTTAACTTATTTTTTGCTATTTAACCCAGTAATGAGTCATAAGAATAGTATTTATAATTGCTTTTTTCCCTTTCCACCAAAAAAAGCAACTGACATTTGCTTTTCTACTTGTAAGAATATGCTAACACAAAACATTTTCAGCTTATCAAACATTTAGCCATCTTTGTAAATATGCTTTTTGGTAACCAACTGAGAGGTGGGATATGAAAGCTAGGATTAATTTGACACATTATCAATGTTGTTTGCCAAAAATATAATCACTTGGGACAAATTCTTCTAAATAAAGATGGTCTTTATATATAGATAGTGTTGCAAGGTCCAATTTAATCATAATTATCTACTTAAAAAGTAAGAATACTGAAAAATATTCATTGAAAAGCATTAAGACTTAATTTTCTTTTATAATGAATACAAGTAGATAAAAAGGTTGATTACCAGCCATCAAATAAAGTGAATAATTTTGTCAACTATTTTTTAGTCATCTAAAAACAAAAAAAAACAAAAAAACTAGTATGAATCTTTTGTTGTGATTTGTGATATAAGCCTGAGGTGAACTAAACATTTAACTTAGCACCTATTATAAGTCACTTTATTTTCCCATTTACAAAAAGCTATTATTATTCTCATTTTCAAGTCAGGAAAGCTGGCTCAGTGAAGTTAAATGTACTGTCCAAATTCATACCATTAGTAAATGACAGACTTGGGATTCACACCTGGCACAGATTTCAATAACTGGGCCACAGAGAACTGAAAAATCATTGTTTTTAAACACAGAGGTCTATATAAAAATGAAGTCACTTAACTCTTTCTTACTACAAGATTCAGTAAGTTCAAACTCCTTGATGTAA